AGCACAACATGGGGCAGGACCACAGCACAGCTGGCGAGGGCTGAGGGTCCTTGCACAGCTCAGGACCTTCCAGTGCAGGGCTAGCCTAGGCAGGGGCTGCTGCGGGTGACCTAGTCCAGGGGGGCTGAGGAGGGTGAGCCTGCTGTGTCCCACAGATTGATCAAGTGGAGGTCCTGTCCAGAATGAGCAAATACAGGAGGTGGAATTTAATTGCCTGCTGATCTGTGTTGCTTGTTGACCTGAGCTGTGCAAAGGCAGTTTGTAATTATTGCTTAGCACTTGTAAGATGTGGATTTAGGATGTGATTTTGTTTGTCTGGGAAATATTAGAGACCTCTGCTGTATAAATATTTAACTTCTTGCTGAAAGGTGGTAATGAGCGGAGCCAGTGACTCCAGTTTGCCAGGCAGGGAGGTCTCAGGTGCACAGGGGCTGCAAGAGGCAGAGCTGCTCCCTCTGGTCACCTCCTACAGCTGCAGGTACTTCCCCTCATCCCTGCAGGGCATTATGCTCAGGAGCGACATCCACCACTGCTAGGGTTCAGGAAGGGTCTGTGAGGGGTGCCCTGGAGGGGCCGTGGGAGGTTCAGAGGAGATGTTAGGAGAAATGTGTTCCCTGTGAGGGTGTTCAGGCACTGGAATAGTGCCCAGGGAGGTGGTGGGGTCACCATGGAGACACCCAGCACAGTCCCACAGCAACAGGGTGAGCCTGGAGTCCCACATGGTGACCAATGCCCACACAGGCTGCACCTCAACCAGCAGCAAGACTGGACTGGGACTGCCACTGCAGCCTCCTCAGCATCGTTCTTGGACCATGAGGGGCTTCTCAGCAGCCTCTGGTGTCCTTTCTCCAGAGATGTGTGGGGAAGCTCTGACATCAGACCAACCTCAGTGGCACCTCACTAAATGACAAATAGCTGTGCAAACACTCAATGTCTCCCACTCCCACTGAATGGCTGCTGGGGCAATGTATGACTGAGCAGGTCCTTGGAGGATACACACTCCTGGCTGTGCTCTGGACAAACCTCTCACCCCTGCGGCCTACAGCAGTTTCTCTAGGAGTCACTCGCTTTGGAACTGCTGTCAGTGAGTGTCTGCGTCCGTGTCTGTGCTGGAAGGGTCAGGGACAGACACCGTGTCCTGTGCAGATCCATGACCAAAAACATAGTGCTGTAGCAGTGGCCAGCAGGGTCCTGGGTCGAGGTAGACCTGAGGGGAACTTCCTCTGCTCAGCATATGAGGTGCCATGTCCAGCTCTGGGCTCCCCAGTCCCAGCCACATGGACACAGTGGGGAGCCCAGTGAAGATGCTGGAGGGACCAGAGCATCACTCCTGCAAGGAATGGCAGGGGAAACTGGCTCAGCCTGGAGCAGAAGACTCAGGGGCACCTTATCCATGCCTACGAACACCTGAAGCGAAGGTGCCCAAGGACAGGCCAGAGGCTCCTTCTGAACTTTGGGAAGATGCTTCCCTGTGCAACTGTGAGTTCCTGTGATGAGAGACACTCCAAAGTCACCTGGACACAGCCCTGGACAGGTGGCTCTGAGTGGTCCTGCTTGAGCAGGAAGGGGACCTGGACAAAGTTGTTCCTTCCAACCTCAGCCATTCTTCCTGATCACCTGGAGCACCCAACCCCTGCAGCAGTAGTTTTCCTCTCCCCATACACAGGATTATCTGTGTCACTGCCAATGACAGGTGTGAATAGGCCATTCAGGTGTGCAAGGAGATACCCTCAAACCACAAGACGATGGACCAAACCCAAAATACCATCTGAAGCAAAGACACCTCAGAGGCAGTTGCTCTTGACATTCCAAGCTTCACAACCCGTTTTCCTCCTGGTGATTCTCAGCCTCTCACCAGCCCCCAACTCCTACAACCTTACTAAGGAAACACCTGTCCTGAGGCTCATAGCCCAGGAGAGTGAGATCGCCGGGAAAGCAGCCCAAAGCTTCTCTGCCAGTGACTGGGACTTCAGAGCTGTGGACTCACTCTCATCACCCTGCCCAAAGGTGACACCAGAAAGAAATACTTGTTTCAGCATTATTTGCCCTTGATAACTTGTGTGGTAAAAGCCTTGGACTCTCTGCCTTGAAGCTTGCTGAGACACTGGCTGGCTGGAGCTGGGCTGAAAACGCAGAAAGTAACAACTCACCATAAACACTTAACTGCAGCAACTTTCCTAGGAGATAAGGGAACTCCACTACAAATCTCTAGCTGAGATAACAACCACCATAAAGTTCTAGCTGCCAAGGGCATCTTGGCCTGGCTCAAGCAGAGTGTGGCAGCAGGACTAGGGCAGGGATCATCCCCCTGGACTCGGCACTGGGGAGGTCACAGCTCAGTGCTGTGCTCAGCTTTGGGCACTCA